TGGAGTTGCACGAGAGGGCTTAACGGGAGTCGAGAGGTAGAACGGCCCGTTTCGCTTGGGGCATCCTTCCAATACTGAGTTCCGAGTTCTCCTTGGGACCCTGGGAGCCCCAGGAGGCCCCAGAGAGCTCCAGGAGGCCGCAGGACGCCCAGGACAGGCCCCAGGGGTCCGCAGGAGATTCCCAGGAGGCTCCCAGGAGGCCCCAGGAGGCCCCCTATCAGAACGTGTCAAGTTAATACACATCCAGTGTCGATTCGTTGATTTTTCCTGCTCTTGTGGCCCCCCTCCATTTGGAGAGGCCCAAACGGCTACAGGTTTGATATCCACCCTGGGAACCCCAAGAGGCGTCAGGAAACCCCAGGTGGAGTTCAGGAGGCCACAGGAGGCCCAGGAGGAAGCCCCAGGAGGTCCCCAGGATGCCCCAGGAGGCACCAGGAAGCACCCGCAACTCGGAGCTCTGAGACGCCGCGCTCGAGGTGGTCCGGCCCGTTTCGCCTGAGACTTCCTCGCAGCACGTTTCGCCCGAGACACCGGCCCGTCTCGCCTGAGACATCCTCGCAACTCTGAGCTCTGAGATGCCGTGCGCAAGGTGGTCCGGCCCGTTTCGCACAAGACATTCTCGCAACTCTGAGCTCCCAGATGCCGCGCAAGAGGTGGTCCAGCCTGGGGGCCCAGACGACCACATGTTACATATCCCCCCTGGGACCCTGGGAGCCCCAGGAGGCCCCAGAGAGCTTCAGGAAGCCGCAGGACGCCCAGGACAGGCCCCAGGGGTCCGCAGGAGATTCCCAGGAGGCTCCCAGGAGGCCCCAGGAGGCCCCCTTATCAGAACGTGTCAAGTTAATACACATCCGGTGTCGATTCGCTGATTTTTCCTGCTCTTGTGGCCCCCCCCTTCATTTTGAGTGGCCCCGACGGCCGCATGTTAGATACCCCCCTGGGAGCCCCAAGAGGCTTCAGGAAGCCCCAGGTGGGGTCCAGGAGGCCACAGGAGGCCCAGGAGGAAGCCCCAGGAGGTCACCAGGAGGCCCCAGGAGGCCCCAGGAGGCCCACGCAACTCGGAGCTCTGAGACGCCGCGCTCGAGGTGGTCCGGCCCGTTTCGCCTGAGACTTCCTCGCAGCACGTTTCGCCCGAGACATCGTCGCAACTCTGGGGTCCGAGATGCCGCGCGCCAGGTGGTCCGGCCCGTTACGCTGGAGACATCCTCGCAACTCTGGGCTCCGAGATGCCCTGCGCGAGGTGGTCTGGCCCATCTCGCCTGAGACATCCTCGCAATTCTGAGCTCTGAGATGCCGTGCGCAGGGTGGTCCGGCCCGTTTCGCACAAGACATTCTCGCAACTCTGAGTTCTCAGTTTCTGCGCAAGAGGTGGTCCAGCCTGGAGCCCAGAAGACCACATGTTACATATCCCCCCTTGGACCCAAGGAACCCCAGGAGGCCCCAGAGAGCTCCAGGAGGCCGCAGGACGCCCAGGACAGGCCCCAGGGGCCCGCAAGAGATTCCCGGGAGGCTCCCAGGAGGCCCCCTTATCAGAACGTGGTGGGGTCCAGGAGGCCGCCCCAGGAGGTCACCAGGAGGTCCCAGGAGGCCCCAGGAGGCCCCCGCAACTCGGAGCTCTGAGACGCCGCGCTCGAGGTGGTCCGGCCCGTTTCGCCTGAGACTTCCTCGCAGCACGTTTCGCCCGAGAAATCGTCGCAACTCTGGGGTCCGAAATGCCGCGCGCGAGGTGGTCCAGCCTGTTACGCTGGAGACATCCTCGCAACTCTGGGCTCCGAGATGCCGTTCGGGATGAAGAGGAAGAGGAGGAGGAGGAGGAGGACGAGGAGGAGGCATGTTTTAATATGCCATGCCAGGCCGCACTGGACGAGCACGCAATCGACGTTGGAAACCGCAGTGGGTCTAAAAACCCTGTTTGGGGATACTGCACTCCGGCTATAATTGTACCTTTGTCCGAGGCTGGGGTTCATCCATGTCCACAGCGTGGGGAGCCCCGACCTTCCTGGGCCTGGGGTGGCGGTGGTGGGTACGGATCTGTTCGGGCCCCCGGGGGCCCAAGGATGCAACAACAGTTACTATGCCATGGGGTCCAGTCCGAGGGCATCGGTTCTTCAGACGGGGCGGTGGATAGGAAGAGAAGAAATCCCCGCCTCGCACTGGACCCTCCTCTGGCTGACCCAGGCTTGGGCGCCATAAGTGGAGCCGGCGGATTCCTTCTCCGCTCCTCGGGGGCTCCAGGGGTCTGGAAGCCGCCCGTGGCCGGCCTCAGTTATATAGCGACACCGTGGCCCTGGTTGACCTTGGCCCGGCTTCGCGCGTCCCCGACCAGAGGCTCAGTGGAACAAGACGCCCAGGATAATGATACGTTCAAGGATGTTCCAGGATTCTCCAGATTTCCGATTGCTCCGCACGGGCTCCAGAAACGAGAGCCGCTACAGTCAACCCGCATAGGAAGGATGAGCGGGTTTCCAAGGTTACCCTTGCATCATTCCTTTTCGGCCCATGTCTGGCCGCTTTCGCTGGCCGCGCCCCGCTCGCAAAGAGTCGACATGGCCTTCCAAGGCCCTTGCCTCCTTATCGTTCATCCTTGTTTTACGGGTTGGCTGTAGATGCTCCCGAATTCCTGGAACGTAGCCTGAGCCACTCGCATCATGACATCAGTCTTGTCCTAGGGACGGGCATGTTTGCCGAGGTGGGGATGCTCGATGTGCTTCTGCCCGCTGTGCTCTCCGCGCGGCCTCTTCCCCCCTGTCCCGCCTCCCAGGGGCCGTCTCCTGGTCCCATGGCCGTTTGAGGACGACCGGGATCGCGAGGAAGAGCGGGCCCTGGGGGGAGGGGGTCGTGAGGTCTCGGGTCTCGGGAGGTGGCGGCGGGGGAGCATCGGGTCGTCGAAGGTCTGGAGGGGAGGTTCGGCCTTCTGATTGGGATTTGAGGTCCTTTGGGCCCCAGGGGCCCGCGGGACACGGCGGCAGACGACTTCTTCTGGGGCCTCCGGGGTTGGTCCAGAGGGGGGGGGGGGAGAAGCAGAAGGTCGGGGAGGACGAGACGGAATCAGATATGGTGGATCATCACGCTAAACTGGGATGAATTTCTACGGGGTTGACGTCTGGAACGAGGGGTCGGTCTTGGGGGAGCGGGGCGCGGAGCCGATCCCCACGGGGAGGGCGGCGCGGGAGCGGGAGAGCTGACGAGGGTGCACCCTGGGGGGCAGGCCCCGAGGGGACGGGCTGGAGCGGGAGGGGGCGGCGACGAGTAGGGACCAGGAGAGGATGGAGTGGGAGGAGAGGATGAGAGTGCCGCTGCACGCGCCCCGCGCCGCTCGCGCCCGCGGCGCATCCTTGGCGCCCAAGCGGCGCGCGGCGGACTCCGCAGCTTGGCGGGGGACGTCCGCGCCCGTCCGGCGAGGCGCCCTCCGCCGTAGGCTTGCGGGAGGGTGGGGGGGGGGGGAGGGGCGGCGCCGCTGACGATGTGGTGGTGGTGGTGGTGGTGGTGGTGGTGGTGGTGGTGGTGGTGGTGGTGGTGGTGGTGGTGGTGGTGGTGGTGGTGTTGGTGGGTGCAAAGTCTGCCTCAGGCACCGCCCACTCTCAGGCCTTACCGTCGGACGCGGGCTGCTCTGGCGAGCCGCCCGAAGCCCTGAACCAGATAGTGCCCCAGGGTCCTGGCTTGCTCTGACGGTTCCAGTTGGTTCGTGTGCGTTCGTTGTAGGTATGATGGGACTCCGGTGAGTTTTGGCAGCACCAATCTTCGCCACACCTGCCGCCCGACAGACAAGACATCGATTGCAGGCCGCAGCGCTTTCAGGAGATGGAGGAGGTTGGAGAGAGGTCTCCACCCTGAGTGCGATGACGTTGCTGTCGAGCTGCTGCCTCCTTTGGGCCTCGGCGAGGATGACCCTCCCACTTTGGCTCACGATGACCCCCTTCCCATGGTTTCCTTCTTCCAATGCGGAGGGTGGAGCGCCACTCCGTCAGCTGGCCATGGTTGCAGCCACACTATGCGAAGAGGAAGACGCGTTGCCGCTCCGTGTCCGCTTGCCGCCAAAAGGATGGGAAGAGATCTGACTGAGTTGCTGGCTGTCGGCATTCCGCGCTCTTTCTTGGTGCAGTGGCGCCTGCCAGCAACCTCTCTCGTCTCGTCGCTAGCTTTCTTGCGACGCGGGGAGGACTCTGCGGTGTGCCCTCGTTCTCCCTTTTGTAGACTGCTGTGCACGGGCGCTGCAGAGGATTTGAGCGTTCAGACGACATCTTGTCTCCTACCCGACAGGTTGGGGTTGTTAGATTTGCAAACCTGGTCCCCCCTCCTCCTTCTCCTCCTCTTGCTCCTCCTCCACCTCCTCCTCCTCCTCCTCCCTCCCCCCCTCCTCCCTCCCCCCCCTTGCCTCCTCGTCTCCCGTCCTAGATTTACGAAGCAGAGGCTCCCGACCCTCCTCGCACATCCTGCATGCCACGGCCGCCGGGCCACAAGCGTGCCAGGTCTCCCTCGGTGCCCCCCGCATTGTGTCCTTGACGGCTGACGGCTGCATGCCGCGGCCGCCACGCCCACAGTGAACCCGTGCTCCTCGGGAGTCCCGCCTCGCGCTCTCGGGCGGGGATCGCTCGAGGCAGCATCGAAGCAATGCGTGTAGCATATGGTGTTTACTCTGGTCACTCCGTCTTCTTCTCATCCTCCCGCCTTTCCCTCCCTCCATCCTCGTCCTCCTCCCAGTCCCCCTCATCCTTCATCCCTTCCCCTCCCTGTCTCCCTACTCCTGCAGACGTTCGGCGTCTTGGTTTTTCCGAGAGAGGCCCCCGACCTTTTGCCCATTTCCCCAGGCGTGTTTTTTTCCAGCCCGAGTCGTTTTACAGTCCCAGGGCCCCAATGGGCTTCCAGAGGCCGAAAACAGAAAAGAGCTGGCCGGCTCGAGAATTGTGGAAACGCTGGAGTGTCTATGCCTCCCTCCTCCTCATTTCCTCACTCCTCCTCGCCTGCCTCCCTCCCTCCCGCGACAGCGCCGCCCTGGCCGCATGGGCGACAACAAGATCAGGCTGGGCGTCTGCCAAAATGGCAGCTGCAGCAGGACGCCGCCGCACTCCCCTGATGCTCCCCTTAGGAGGAAGGACATCCTGCTGCTCACCTCTCCATCTGCTCTTCTCGTGCTCCATGTGCTCCTCCTCGGATTTGCATCCCCAGACGTGCTGAGGTTGTGAAAACACGACGGATGCATGGATTTCCGGGGCCGCCTGTTTTTTTCCAGATTTGCATTACCATGTGCATTCATACATATATATATACATATACGTATATATATACACATAGCTACATACATTTGTAATTGTATATATATATACACAAATAAGTACGTCCTTAGTTGTATTGTATACACATCGATGTATGTGTGTGTGTGCTTCCATACTTATGTGTACACATACACATCAATATACATACTGGCCTTCGACCCATGCCCCCCACCGTGCCTGGATTGTGGGCCAGAGTCATCCGGGATGCTTCTTGGGTCTCTTCGGAGCGCTCTCGGGGGTCTCTTGGGGGCAGTTTTGAGGCCTTTTGGGAGACTCTTGGGTGCTTCTTGGGGGCCTCTTCGGGCTTCCTGGAGCCTCTTGTGGGCCTCTTGGGGTCTCTTGTCGGCCTCTGAGGGACCTGTTGGGGGCCCCATGGAGGCCTCGCGGAGCCGAGGGCTCTAAACGTCCGCTCCCTTTTGGAGCCGTCTTGGGTACCTCTTGGGCAGTCTTTGGCGCCTCTTGTGTTGGGCAGTCTTGGGGCTTTCTTGGGGGCATCTTGGGCCGTCCTGGAGCGTCGGGAAGCCGAAACGGCGAGGACGCCCAAATCGTTCAAACACCTGAGGAACATCAATGATGTTTGCCTCTTGGGGGTCATCATGGGCCGTCTTGAGGCCATCCTGGGCATCTTGGAACTACCTTTCGTCGACTCGGGGACCCGCCCTCAATCCGTGAAGCTCTTGCAAATTAAAAAACGAATGTGCGCCGCGCTGAGGCGAGAATCACGTTTTCAAAACCACCCGCCCTCAATCTGTGAAACTCTGGCAAATGCTTGAAACGAATGTGCGCCGCGCCAAGGCGAGAGCCACATTTTGAAAACTACTTGCCCTCAACCCGTGAGACTCTTACAATTTTTTCAAGCGAATGTGCGCCGCGCTAAGGCGAGAGCCACGTTTTGGAAACGTTCCGCCCTCCTTATGTGAAACTCTGGCAAATGTTTGAAACGAATGTGCGCCGCGCTAAGGCGAGAGCCACATGTTGAAAACCACCCGCCCTCCATCTGTGAAACTGTTGCCATTTTTAAGCTTCAGAATCAAACATGGTAAGGAAGTCTGAGGCGACACGCCCGGCCGCCCTGAAAACTGGCCTCGGGGTGAGACAGGGAGAAGTTATTTATAAGGAAAAGGAATGGAGGAGGAGGAGGAGGAGGAGGAGGAGGAGGAGGAGGAGTTGGAGGAGGAGGAGGCCCTCCCCTTCTCCCTTCCCTCCACTCGCCTCGCCTTTCGGACGTTACTCCCTCCTGCTCCTTCTGCTCCTCCTCCCTCCTGACGAATGCGGACTTCCTCAGAGCGCGGGAAGTCAAGACCGGTGCCCCCACGACCTCTCTGGACCTCCTGTGCGGCGTTCTTCGGGCCAAAGCGAGCCGCGATGGTCCCGTGGCCCGCCGCCGGGCGACACCGCCCGTTGTGAAGAGGATGCGCCGCCATGTCTCGGGGCTCTCGGCTCGAGCGGTGCTCCTCTCCGGCGTGGTCCGGCGCGTTCTGGAGCGCTCGGGGGCTTCCGAGCGCTCTGGCACGCCCTCGGCGCCCGAGGCGTCCTCCAGAGCCGCCAGAGTTCAGAGAGTCCCGATGCATCCCAGTTTTAGGTCGGGCATGTCCCCCCTACAGACGGATCATGACAGCAACATGGAGAACATTCAAAAATTGTCAAAAACAGTCAGAAAGTCGTCCCCAGACTATTTTTGTTACTATTTCTGGACACTCCTCAAGTAGAGGGACGTGCCCGACTTAATGCAAGTGCGATGTTGTCCTAGTCTTGGATTCGAATGGCAAGGCTCGTTGGGCTTCGGGTTGCGCACGGACTTCTGTCTCGGCTGCCCTCAGCAGGCCCCGCGTGTGGTCCCAGCTGGCCTCAACAGCCCGCCCGAGTAGCCCAGGGCGATCTCAACACACCAACCCTGGGGCTCCGAGCGCCCCACAGGGCTCATTTCGATTCCCCCGTTTTTCGATTCGATTCGATTTCGATGGATTCCGATGCCGATTCGATTCGACTTGGGTTTCCGATTTGGGTTCCATTTATCACTGGACGCATACAAGCCTGCCGATTTCTGCCGATTCGATTTTTTCCGACTCGGCTGCCAATCTCCGCCGATCCGATTCATGTCGATCGCCGATCCGATTTATCGATTTGATGCTGGGCTCTCCTGGCCCCAGGGGCGCCTCCGCAGGCGGCGCCAGAGTGTCGAGACCGCCCCAGACTACTCAGGGGGGCCTGTTGAGGCCAGCCGAGATTGCCTGCGAGGGTTGTCGGCGCGCAACCCGACATTGTCTCTTGTGGTGTTGGGTCCTCGCTTTGCAGAGACAGCGCCCCTCGTCCCTCCCACCTCCGCCTCCCCCTCCTCTCTACTCACATCCCTGCCTCTGCCCTCCGCACCCGTCAAATTTCGGCCCACCCCTCACACGCTTCGTGGCTCCATAGGGAGCTCCGAATAAGGCCCCAGAGGTGCCGTTCGCACGCGTCCCCGCCGTTCGTTTCGGCACACCACACCCCTCACACGTTTCGTGGCCCCATTTGGAGCTCAACCCAAGGTCCCAGTGGTGCCGCTCGCATGCGTCCCCGCCATCCATTTCGGCACACCCTCACACGCTTCGTGGCCCCCATAAAAATGGTAGCTTCGCAAAGGCCCCAGCGGTGCCGTTCGCATGTGACCCCGCCACCCATTTCGGCACACCCCTCACACGTTTCGTGGTCCCATAGATAGCTCCACCCAGGACCCCGGTGGTACGGTTCGTATGTGTCCCCGCCATTCATTCCGGCACACCGCTCACACAGTTCGTGACACCATGGGGAGCTCCACCCAAAACCCCAATGGTGTTGTTCGCGTTCATGCGCCCCCGCCACCCACGTCGGCGCAGTCCTCACACGCTCCGTGGCCCCACAGGGAACTCCACCACATGCCCCAGTGGCGCCGTTCGCATGCGTCCCAGCCACCGATTTTGGCACACCCGTCAGAAGTTTCGCTGCCCCACACGGAGCTCCTCCCAAGGCCCCAGCGGTGCCGTTCGCATGCGTCTCTGCCACCCATATCGAAACATCCCTCACACGCTTAGTGGCCCCATAGGGAGCTCCACCCAAGGTCCCACACGTGCCGTTCGCATCCGTCCCCGCCATTCGTTTCGTTACACCCCTCGCACGTTCCGTAGTCCCACAGGGAGCTCCACAGAAGGTCCCAGTGAGTACCGTTCGCATGCGTCCCCGCCACCCATGCTGGCACACCGCTCTCACGTTTCGTGGCCCCATAGGGAGTTCCACATAAGGCCCGAGTTGTGCCGTTCGCATGCGTCCCCGCCACCTATTTCGGCACACCCCTCAGTCGTTACGTGGCTCCATAAAGGGGGCTACACATGAGGCCCGAGTTGTGCCGTTCGCATGCGTTCCCGCCACCCATGTCGGCGCACCCTATCACACGCTTCGTGGCCCCATAGGGAGCTCCTCCCACGCTTCGTTGTCGCATAGAGAGATTCACCAAAATGCACCAATGGTGTCGTTCGCATGCGTCCCCGCAACTTATTTCGGCACCTCACTCACACTCTTCACGGCCCCCAGAAAAAAGGGGAGCTCCGCATAAGGCCCCAATGGTGCCGTTCGCATGAGTCCCCGCCGCCTATGTCGGCACACCGCTCACACGTTTCGTGGCCCCTTAGGGAGCTTCACCCAAGGCCCCGGTGGTACGGTTCGCACGTGTCTCCGCAGCTCATTTCGGCACACCCCTCACACGTTTCGTAGCTTTATAGTGAACTCTACCCACGGCCCCAATGGTGCCGTTCGCATGGCACCCTGGCTCCCATTTCTGAACATCACTCACATGTTTTGTGGCCCCATTGTGAGCTCCATCTGCGGCCCCAGTGGCACAGTTCGTATGCGCTCCCGACCACTACCTTTACGGTGCCCGTCACACGTTTCGTGGCCCCAGGAGGGGCTCCACCGAAAGCGGTAACCAGAGCGCGGTAAACCCAATTGTATATCGTTGGGTTTTTCGCACGGATAGTTACCCGATTCGATTCGCCTCTTGTTCTGAGGGGTGCCCATTCCAGCCTCCCCCCAGCGTGGGCTCCACAATGCTGCTGCGGGACATCGAGGAGTACTGCGGCAAGCACGCCGAGGCCGCCGAGGGGCTGCCGGTGGAAGACACGGGGGAGGAGGAGCAGCAGCGGGAGGAGCAGCAGAAGGAGCAGCAGCAGCAGGGCAGGGAAGCAGTGGAGGGAGTGAAACAAGAAGCGAGTGCGGAAGAGAGAGGACTGCAGGAGAGGGGAGGGCGGAGTGAGGGGAGGGTGACGGGAGCATGGGGTCGGGCGGAGGAGGAGAAGGGGGGGGATTGCAAGGGGCAGGCCAGCAGCGCAGGAGCAGTGAACAGGGGTCGAAGAAGCAAAAACGCCATATAAACATAAACTTTGGGCGCTCCGCGCGGATTTCTTGGCTCCGCGCTGGGCCCCCCTAGGCGGCGCCTCCGGCGCCGCCCCGGGCGCGCTCCGCGCGCCAGGGAGGGGGCTCCAGCGCAGATCCAAGGAACCCGCGTGGAGCGCCAACAGTTTATGCTTATGCCGTTTCTTTTCTTCTTCTAGAAAGGGGGGAGAGCGGATGAGGACGGAAGAAGCGGGCATGATGGAGTCTTTGCAGATTGGATCGTGGGGTACAGTCGGGGCCCTGAAGAAGGAACCCTTTTCGTTGGGGAGGGGCTCGGTGTTCCTCGATTGTGTTGCAGTTTGCCCTGGGTTCTCTTCAGGTTTTCCATGGTGCAAATCGAAGTTTAACTTTTGGAAAAAAGGGGCCTCGCTCCTTATGTAGGGCTCCTTAGGTCAACGCCCCGACTGTATGGCCAGCGGCGCCCACATCGGGCCCTCGCGCCCCGTGGGCAGGCCTCGCATTCGTTGTGGCCTCGGGGAGGCCCGCCTCGCCCGGGGGTCCGGGCCCGGGGCGAGGAGTCCACCAGAGCTGCTGCTGGTGGGCCTGTTTTCCACCGCCACCACCATAAGTAGGATGGGGAGGGGGCCCTCCTCCTCCTCCTCCTCCTCCTCGTCCTCGTCCTCCTCCTCCTCCACCTCCTTCTCCCCTCCAACTTATGGTTGTGGTGGTGGGAAACAAGCCCATCAGCTGCTTCGTCTTGCATCGGCGAGCCAGACCCTGGAGCCGCTGTCCTTGGCTGAGATCCTGGGCCTCAGTGGGCCCTGGAAACGACAGGGCCGTTTTTGTTACCGGTTCCGTTTTGCCGTTTTTTTGTTGCCGGTTCCGTCGCCGTTTTTTAACCGGTTCCGTTGCCGTTGTTTGACCGGCTCCGGCTCCGGTTCCAATCCTGGAGCCGTTATTTTTGCTGTTTTCGGTCGCAGTTTTTTTGCCGTTTCCATTTTTAAGGGACACTTTTTGGGAAACGGTGAAAAAACGGCCCTGCCCTTTCCGGGGCCCACAAAGTCCTGGACCACATAGCTTCAGGCCCGTCCCCGACAACATCCTTCGCTCCCTCCTTGCATCTCTCTCTATCTCTCTCTCTCCGCATCCGTGCTCCCCTCGGTGTCATCGCCAGGGGGGCGGGGTGGGCTCAGGGGGGTAAGCATCGAGCCCCAGGGGGGGTAGGCTCACGGGGGTGGGGGGGGGTTCGAGGCTTTCGAGGCTCAAGGTGTTCGGAAGCTCTCTGAGGCCCCCTGAGGCTTTTGAGCCGCGTGGAGGCGCGCATCGTCGCGAGGGGCCGCTTGAGGCCCCAGTCATGACCCCCGAAAACCAACGGGCAACACGCCGGGGGGGGGACGCACCGGCCCCCCATCGCCCACTCATCGCCGATGGGGGCCCGACGGCCACAGTCCGCCGATGGGGGCCCGACGGCCACAGTCCACGAGCTATCGGCGATGCATCGCCGATTCGAGCTCAATTCAGGAGGGGGAAAATCACACAGACACAATTTCTCGTCGATCCCCAGGAAAATATGGAAAAATATGGGAAGTGGGGGGGAAGATAAGAACCCAGAAAATATAGGAAAATATGGGGAATCTTGTTATTTGTGTGTATTTATTTGTGGGTCCCAGGGCCCCTTGATCAATGTCCCCCCCCCCTTGAGCCGGTTCCCCCTCCTATCGTTCGAAGAGGAATAACGCCATGAACATGAACTTTTGGCGCTCCGCGCGGATTTCTTGGATCCGCGCTGTGTCCCCCCCGGCGGCGCCTCCAGCGCCGCCAGGGACGCGGAGCGCCAAGAGTTTATGCTTATGCCGTTTCTTCTTCTTCTCATCGTTCTCCCCCCACCATCCATTCCCTCCCCTCCCCTCCTCTCGGGACGATCGGCACGGGTACGGAAAGAGTGGGCACCAAGACCCACAGCACTGCCGGCTCATTTTGACCCAGATTCGCTGTCGGTGCCGCCGCGGGCCTTGTCCACTTGAGACAGGAGGCCGCCTGCCTAGCGGCGGCCGCTGCCGGCTAATTATGGACCACATGTGTTGTCGGGCATCGTGCCCCTCGTCTTCCGTACTCCGAGCTTCTTATGGATCAGCTGGGCTTAATCAACCCGGGGGGTGACAAACGTGAAAACGCGGCGCGGCCAGCCCCCCCCCCCCGGGCACCACCCCCGCGCCCCAGCGGGGAAGGGAACGAACCCCAGACCCCCCCCCATGGCACCCCCGCGGACGTGCCGCGGCCAGCCCCCGCGGGCACTCCAGGGGGGGCGATTATTAAGCGATCCAGGGTACCCATTTCGGGCGTCCAGATCTTCCTGCCCCATCCTCCCCACCCCCTGCCCGCCTCTCTGAGGGCCACGTCCCGAGGCACACAGGCCCGTGGGCGTCGTGCAGCAGGTGCGCGCACACACACACACACACACACACACACACACACACACACACACACACACACACACACACGAACACACACGAACACACACGAACACACACGAACACACACGAACACACACGAACACACACACACACACACGAGCACACACGAGCACACACGAACACACACGAACACACACGAACACACACACACAAACACACAGACACACACAAACACACACAAACACACACAAACACACAGACACAGACACACACACACACACACAAACACACACACACAAGCATACACAGACACACACAGACACACACACATACACACGCGCGAACACACAATTATGTTGAGGGGTGTCGCAGCGGTGGCGAACGCGCACCGCGTCCGTGGCCTGCGTGAGCGGGGGCGCTGCAGTCAGTCAGTCAAGCCTGGCGCTCGTACGGCGCTTTGGCGGCATAGCAAGGTCAGCGCAAAAGTGTTGGCAGAGGGAAGGGGGAGGAGGCGACAGTTGGGATTCAGAAGCGCGGGCGCTGCAAGGCGAACTGAATTCAAGAAAGTGGGAAGCGAGAGAAGGAGGAGGAGGAGAAGGAGGAGCACGAGGAGGAGAAGGAGAAGGAGAATGACCAGTGCAAACCAAAGACTCAGCAACGATATTGAAATACACCCTCCCTGCAAGCTCCCTGTTCACAGGCCCCTACACGGATTGATTTTCATTGAGGGAAGTGCTCCGTTGGAAGATCACGTTTCGAAAATTCGGAATTGTGCCATAAGGCCAGTCTTGGGACATCAACGCTGCCAATCACTTTATTGTTTCGTCTTGACGGTCGTGGATCGTGCAAGAACACCACTTCTGGGACTTCAACACCGCGGATTGACGTGACTGGTGCGCTCTGACATTCCGACCTCGTGCCAACACCATTTTTGGGACGTTCGATCTGAGAATATTTGAAATTATTGGAAGCGTGTATGGCGAATGTCCGCGGTGCTAATTAAGGCGACATCCACATGTTGAATAGTTACCGCCCTCTACCCTTGAACACCTTGGGATATTTAAAGACGAATGTGCGCGGCGCCACGGCGAGAGCCACATGTTCAAATCGGACCGCCTTCCATCCGTGAAGTTTCTGCAAACTTTTTCAACGAATGTGCGCGGCGCTAAAGCGCGAGCCATAAAGCTCTTGCGAACTTTTAAAGCGAATGTGCGCGCCGCTAAGGCGAGAGCCACAGTTTGAAAGCAGGCCGCCCTCAATCCGTGAAGCCCTTGCTAATTCAAAGCTTCGCGATCGTAAGTCTCAAGCGAAACGCCCAGCCCGTCCTTTCGACCGGCCTCTGGGTGCGACAAGGAGGAGTTATCTATAAGGAGAAGGAATGGAGGAGGATTGGATTGGATTGGATCTATCAGGAAGCGAATCGCACATTACGCTGACCTTCTCCGAGCCCGCGGCGAAAAGGAAGTACTCGACGACGAACTCTGGATATGCCAGCGCTAAGAGAGACAGATCGAAGGGCATGACCGCGAGACCTGACGGCCGAAATTCACGGAACACATGGATGTCGTAAATGAGTACTTCCAACATGCCACATCCCAGATTTAACCAGATACAGCAACATGCTCCACTCCTTCAGCCAATGTTGGCACCAAAAACGTCCACGCACCTCGCCAGACAAAGCGTGTGACCCGCACCGCGAGTCGAGGTAACAGAGAGCCACACAGCTGAGCCGTCATGCAGACCACCATTCTTGAATAACGAGGTGCACATTACATATTCCCTTGCTATGGAAAGCCCACTTGTCCAAGCACAACCATCCATTAAAGTACACCCAGGCGGGAGGCTTCGGTCAGTGCGCGCAGGCTCCCACTGTCCGTGCCGCCTGGGATGGATGGCGAAGAGACCGAGCAGGAACGTAAGAGCCATGATCATATGCACAGCATGCTGGAAGACGCCACTGCGCAGCGACTCCAAGAGAAGAGTCGGGTGTTAGTACTCCGCCTCGCCCCAGCAATCAAAAACAGCTTGAAGACCGAGGGCGCGAACTGGTACACCCAGGCGGGAGGCGTTGGATCAGTGCGCAAAGGCTTCCACTGTCCCTGCCGCTGGGGATGGATGCCGAAGAAGAGGTGCAGGGAAGAAGCTCAGAAGAAGATGCGCAGCAAAACAGCGAGACATCAGATAATGCTGTGCGGCAGCTTCCAGAAACAAACACACACACCATACATCGATCGAAATTCGCTCCGTTTAGCCACTGGGATAGATGCCCCAACCCGTAGAGATTGTCAACAGTTCAGCTGAGGTGCAGTCGGCTTAATGCGGCCCTTTTTCAATGATGTATGCAA